GTGATGAATTGTATAATGATGCGACTTGAATAAAAGATATATAAACAAATGTTGAATGACCATGCTTATGTCTTTTTGTTATCATGGAAATAAAAAAAAAAAAAATAAGTGGTGAAATTACTCTTCGAATAATACGAGTCCCTCATTGACATATTCAACTACAATACCATGATCAGATAGTCATCTTTGACTTGCACTTTTCTCTTAAAATTTTCTCCCCGTTGGCGTTTATATAATCTTGAACAGTGCCCTTGTCTGAAAAATGCTGATGTATTCTATTTCCACGGACATGTATTCATGTAACGTCTGTATTCTCTAGTTTTCTTTATTATATCCCCCCAACGAACGAAGTTTGGGGGGGGGTAATATAGAAGTCACTTTGTGGTTGGTCGGTGTTGGTTGGGGGTCGGTCGGTCGGTCGGTCCCGCGGTCCGTTTGCATTTTCTTTTTCCCGAAACATAACTTGAAGACTAATAGTTTGAATTCGATAAAAATTTATACAATTTGGGGCCCAAACACATTGAGAAAGGAAAATGCATGCATAAAAAAATATCTCCAGTTTTCCAAAAAAATTAAAAGTTATTGCCTTTGATCCTTTTTCCCTTTTCCCGGGTTTAAATTTAAAAGTTAAATGGTTGGAATTTAAAAAAACTTCATGGTCAAGCACAATAAGAGGAAATTCAGTGCACAACAACCATAACTTTGTCCAGAGTAATTATAGAGTTATTGCCCTTTGTTACTTTTCCATTTCTTTTTTCTTGTTCAGAGCATAACTTGAAAACTACTAGTTTGAATTTCATACAATTTCATATGATGGTCAAGTATATTTAGAGAAAGCGCAGTGCACAGAAACCATAACTCTTTCTTGACTCATTTAAGAGTTTTTGCTCTTTGTTACATTTTATTGTCCAGTGCATAACTTGAAAATTAATGGTTGGAATTCAATGGAACTTCATACAATGTTCAAGGGCAGTGAGATGAAGTGCAATGCACAAGAATAATAACTCTATTTGGATTAATTACAGTTATTGCCCTTTGTTATTTTTTCTGTCCAGTGCATTACTTGAAAACTATTTGTTGGAATTCAATGCAACTTCATACAATGGTCAAGCGCAATTAGAGGAAGTACAGTGTTCAAGAAGCGCAACTCTTTCTGGACTTATTACAGAGTAATTCAATAAAACTTCATCAATGGTCAACCATATTGAAAGGAAATGCAAGATACAAGAACGACAACTATCTTTAATTGCCCACAACTATAACTCTAATTTCTTTGCAAGGTTTTCATTTCCGAAGCAGTCTTGCGTGGGCATTAATCATATTTAGTGATAGTTCTTGTTAAAAAAACTGTATGAAGGCTCTTGTGACCTTGAATCTCAATGACATGAATCACTGAAATTCCAACTGCTCTCTAGATGGGCTATGATGGGTAGTTATTGTAAGATGTGGCATTAGATATCACATCAGATGTGGCATTAAACACATGTGTACGCGGTCTGTCACACTATGAATAAGGGTACGCTGGACAACATTAAGCTTACTTGAATTGACTATTATAATGCTTTACTTATCAAAGGACACAAATGCTGTAAAACAAAATTTGAATATGCCAGCAGTAAATAAATGTTAAAAAACAGCTTCCTATCAAAAACAAAAACATTTCAATTATTTTGTTTACCCCTGTTGGTTTTAATACAATGCTTTTCAAAAAAGTCTTTTTGTCATCACATTTGTATGTAAACATTAACAATGTTCAAGAACAACATAAAAATATAAGTTTGATTGTTAATAAATTTTGTTCCATAAATCATCATGAATATATATAATTGCCAACTGTTTCAAATTATAACTCTGAATAAAATCAGTTTTGAGACAACTGGACTCGAGTTCAGTCATAAATTACATGCTCGTGTTACAATTATTTTTTTAAATAAATACATTGAAAATAAATAATATCACAGTTTTTCACTTTGTATTAATATGGTTATGCATAACATCTATGTTAAGTCTTAAAACCATTTACTGTTCATGTAGGACGAACTAACATTCATCTTCACATTTAAAATTTTTGAAGTATCACAGTATTTGGTCAAGATGATGAATATTATTTTAAGTCAACAAGGGTTAAGGTTGAAGAGGTGGTCTATTGGTATCATTTCGAATTATTTCATCAAAAACAAACTCCATTTTGTCTATAGCATCTCCCACTATTGCATATGTCTGAAAAAAAAGAAAAACAAATAATTACATTTCATATACAATGTTAATCATTTACAAATGTTGTAGTTATCAGTCAATGTGTAAATAATCAGCTGAGCTCATACAGGCAAGAGATTATCCATACCTAAAAGGCTAGATTTTAATCTTTTTGTCTGACACAATTAGACTGTATAAATGTTGATGGTTAAATGCAGGTAAACAATACTTGTTTTGATACAAATCTTCTTCATATATATATCATAATCTACCTTTAACTTAATGAGCAAAACAAAACAAAGTTGCTAGTTTAAAGCTAAATGTGAACATTTTAAAGTTAACATAATATGTCTGGTTGCATATTCATGTGCAAGTAAATAATGTAATTCATATATAAGAACTAGCTTAATCAAGCGTACAGATGGTAGGTGGTTTTACCAAGGCACTTACACCTGCCTTGTACAATTGGGCACCCGTTGTCTAAACTACTAATAATGCCCGGAAAATTTGCCATATGACCGCGTCACAAAAAAAACCAATAGTGGCCGTTTGCGACCAAAAATCCGTTGGGAGTTTTGATCAGGTCCATTTTGTTCGCTATCCAAATTTTTTTTACTTGTTATAGGGTTTTTTTAAAACCCAAAAAGCATGGGAAAACCCGGAAACAGACTGCCCCCGGATGGGCCCCCAGGCCCCGGGTTTTTGGGGTTCCCCCTTTCTGGGGGGCCGGGAACCCCCTCCCTGTTTGGGGTTTTTTCATGAACGGCCCCCTATGGGAATTTTCAAAATCCCCATGTGACATGGAAAAAAACCCAAAAAAAACCCTTTAAATTTTCCCCGTTGGGAAAGATTTTCCCCCTTATATTTTTTGTTTAAAAGGGTGGGATTTTTAAAGGGGCCCCCGTTTTAAGTTTTGGGATCCAAAATGGGTTTGGGGGGAGCCCGTTTTTTTTCTTTTTCCCTGTTCCTAAAACTAACCCGCAGTTTTACCCAGCGGCTTAGGTTGGGGGCCCCCTTCTAGAGGGCCAGGAGTTTCCTCGCCACTTTTTTTTTACCTGGAACTTCATATTTTTAACTTTTTTGTTAAAGGAAATTTGGGAAAAGACGTATAAAAAAAAATGTTTGGGATAAATTTTTAACTTTAATTTGAATTTTTTAATAAAAAACAGAACCGTTATCAGTTTTTACGAAGAAATATACTTGATAAATTAGATAAAATCAAATTTCTATCAACATGTTTTTTCTTAGACCATTTTTGTAATAATTAAATGATAATAGCAAAATTTTGGGACCAAGCTTTCTTTTCCCCCCAAAATACCATTCAAACTTTAAAGTTTAATTCCATTCATTTGTGTAAATACAAGTAAAAAAATTTTTTTAAAAATCTTGGATTTTAAAAAAAGTTTTAACCCTTAAATTTGGGGGAAAAAAGGAAAAGGGAAAAAGTTTTTTTCCCCCAGTATAAAGGGCCCCAAACAATTTTTTCCCAAATTTTTTTAAATCCCCAAACCCGGGCCCCCAAAACTTTCTGGCTTTTTAAAACAACCCTAAGAAATTTTATATGAAAAATCCAGAAATTGACAAAGAACAAATTTTTAAAAAATGAATCATAAAAAATACCTCTTTTTAAAAATTTTCCTTTCCCTTTTTTCTTTTTTTCTTTAGCCCGGGGAGGGGCCCCTTTTTTTATTTAGGGTTGGGGTTTTTTTTTGGGTCCTTTATTCCCCTTTTTCCACTTCTTTTCGGGCCTTTTTCCATCACCCAAAAAAAAAACAAAATTTATTTCTTTAAACCCTTTACGTATCCCTAGATTTTTTTTATTTTTTATACACTCCCAAAAAATTTTTTTAAAACATATTTCTCTGCAAAATTCATAATTTAGTCAAATAACAGATAAGGGTGATCAGTCTATGAAAACTAACACTTTCATTGGTCAATTTTTAAATATTTTCTAGAGTAACAACCAATCAGATTTTGAAGTTTTTGACTGGTTGCTAAATATCTGTTTTTCGTCTTACTTACAGTGACTTTCTATTCTCTATATTTTTGTCTCTTCATTTAAATGCAAGAAAAAAAATGAAAATGTTACACATTTACTAAATATAAAAAGAATAGATTGTCTTAATTATATGAATGTTTACATTATTTTTGACGACTTTGATAATGGAAAAAAATGTTTAAATATTTATTAACAAATGATCTTAAATGAGAAAGAATAAGTGAAATTCTTAAAATATGAGAACAATATCATGGGATTTAAAAACGGTTCTAGCTATAATATTATACAGGATCAAAATAATTGAGTAAAATATGAATAATTGAATGATATGGAGCAGGGGTTTTCTAATATACAAACATGTTAAGATCACTTTAAACAAAACACATGAACAAAATAACATAAAGTTAGAAAAGACAACTTCACATGTCTATAAATTGTTTGTTCTACCTTTTGAAAATAATTTTCCTTTTAAAAATCTTTGGTCTTGTATCAATAAAGTGCAGTTAAAGCAATTAATATAGAAAAAAAGAAAACTAGATGTTCGGCAGATTTATTTAGTAAAATTTTTTTAAAAGCCTTAGATATAAAAATGAGACTTGCACTAAGTTACTATAGATGCTGCAGTCAAAAGTCAACCTTCTTGCAAATAACAACCAATGGTTGATTTTGAAATGGTTATTTGAAGACAAATGTTCTTTGAAATAAATATAAGGTACATGTATACATGTGTAATGAAAACTTCAACATTAAACCAACAAACACAGGGCAAACAAGGTATATTGGATAGGTTGCAGTAAAAACTTACTACTTCCAGGTACTTTATCTGACAATCCTTGCCCAACTGTAAAAACCAACAACACAAAACATTCAAAGCTTTCAGGGGAAGCAACTGAGACTAAGTAACAATGCAAAAAGGAGACTAGTTCTAGTTAACGACCTCAATGTTTGTAATGCAATAAAACACAAATATATGTAGAATGATATGTGCTGCTTTGTTGATAAAACAATTTGGAAATTAGTAAAGAAAAACTTTCAATTTTGATAAAACATGAAGTTTTTACTTCACAATTTATCAAGAGTTAGTGAACTTGCTTTTTACAGAGGTTCTGTAATATGATGGTTCGGTGGCATATTGAAGTATGCTTTTTACAGAGGTTCTGTAATATGATGGTTCGGTGGCATATTGAAGTATGTAAAGTAAAAAGATGATATTTGAAATGTAACATTTACAGACTAATATAGTATACTGTGTAAATGCTGATATACAGAAAAATGTGATGTGAATATACTGTGATGAATAGACACAATGATATGTTTGTCATTACAGTTACAGAAATGAGATAAATTCATAATTTCCTATTCCTAGCATAGTATGAAGAATAATATACATAGCCAGATAGCTAGTGTTGGACATACTGCTCAATCCATCAATAATTTAGATATGACCACAACTTCACAAGGGTAAAAGACATTTAAATAACAATACTTTTTGTGTAACCCATACACCAACCAAGTCACTTCAAACTAGCAACGTTTCTGCACACATTGTGCGTTTGTGTGCAAATGTGTCTGACCTACACATTGACTTACTCAATGTACTATCTTCAGATAGTAATTTAGGGTTACTAGGGGGTTTGGAAGGGGTTCTAGATGCCCGCCTGCTCTCACGAGATTCCTGTTTTGATTCTAACAGAAAAAATAATGTACCAAATATTAAAAATAATCAAAGCTAAATTAAGATTTTTATAAATCTATGAAACATTCTTAAAATATAGTTGAACGAAATTCATGTTTCTGAAAAATAATATAAAATTATGTTTTCATGCTCAACTGACATTCAAATACACAACAGTGCATGCACAGTGTTTTTGTTTCTTTACTTTTATAGAAAGTCAAAAAGTCAAAACTGTACAAATTTAAATGCCTGAAAAACATATATTCTTTGCATATGAAAATTTTTGATTGAAAGCTGAATAATTTAGTTTTATTTCCAATAAATCCCTCAACTAGTAGTTAGACCTTTATATATCAATTATTTATGCCAAAAAGTAACAGGAAAGAAAACACTGCTATGTCTACACAGATATCTGAGATTGAGTTAAAATGTCTTTAACACTGAATAATCACAAATATTTCAAGCAGCATGCAACATTATGTATGCAACAGGCATCATGCAAATGTTCTGTTTCCAGGCAAAGCAGGAGAAAAAATTTCTTTTTAAGTCCTGTACAATACACATATTCATGCTAGGAATATAACTGAGGTTGTTCTATACAAAACACAACATATCTTTATCATATACATAGCAAATAGTATCTAATATTAATGTCATAGAATTTAATTTTTTGAAACAAAATAAGTAACTGTTTGTAAATGAAACAGTGATCTATAGTATAAGTCTATTACTTTTTCCTCTTTTAAGCAGAACTCAGGAAGTTGATCAATATTCTTTAACAAAATACAGTTTGATCCTATAAACCATATAAAATAAATGGATGACACTATATTTATTTTCATTTTACATTTTTTTTTGGAGTTGAGAAACATCAATATGAAATAAATGTAGTACATGTTTTTTGTATAGAACAACACATCACATTTGTATATTATATGTCATTCTTAAATACATGCTATTATATATTCCATTCTTATATTTACAATGCTGTGTACAAACATTTACAAATATGTCAATATATGTAATAGCTTAGCTTACACAGTATGTGTAATATTATAACTATCAATTCTCACATAATGTTTTTTCTAGAAACACATTTTTGTAACATATGTACACAGTATTGTAAATGTCTATTCATTTCACATCATTTTTATTAAATCCCAAGTTAATACAGAGCAAAAATTTGCCATTCAAACTAAAACTGAACATTTAAACTGACATTATGCCCATCAAAGTGTAAATGATTGAGAGTATAGGTAAAAGTCAAAATAAGTTTACATTTTTCATAAATGTGTTAAATTCTGTATTTGATTATGCAAAAATAATCAATAATCCGTGTGACCCACGGATATTTCTATAAACATTGTTTGGAAAGTATCGGTATCGTTCAATTTCTCAAAAGAGAGGGGAACTCTTTAAAAAATTTAGATAGTTTTTATATTTTATCCTAAACAGTTTTCCTTATCAATTATTGTTCAATCACCATAGTAGTAGTGAATCTCGTGAAATATATTACTTATTCAACTCAACTTGACAGTAAAAAATGAGCATAATGTCACTTTAACACATGTTTGTTTACAATTACTTTTAAAACTTATATTAAACAATGTGAAATGAATAATAACCATGGTCTGACTAAATTCTCTAATATTATAATGAATTTTTACTCTGTTAACCTTTAGGCAGGACAATAATAAATTTTAAAAAAAAACAATGTTTCTGAAACTAATATAACACTCAAATCTATCTAGATTCAGGAATTAAGAAGATGTTTTCATCGCTAAATAGTACAATCTTGCTAAAAAAAATTTCAACTAAGAAAAGGAACACAAAATGGAAAAGTAATCTTAATCTCAAGGACAAATTTCAACTGAAATGTTAAAGCAAATTAAAATAAAGAATAAAGGGAGGTTACTATTTGCATAAAAAAAATATGCTAAGAGTGTTTCCTATTTTTATTTTGTGCATTTTGTTGTTGTTGTTTCTATAAAGGATTTCACATGACAATTGACAATACCAATGGAGTTTTGGGGGAGTTCTGGTGGGATTTAAGCATCACCAAGGTTACCGACATTACCTGGTTTGTTTCCAAAATATAGCTACACAGATTGGGTAATTGATAAGAGATAAATTAAATAAGAGGCGTGCTACATTGTTTACCATTTAGAGACAAATCGGAACCCTCTCTGGTCAAACGTGGAGAATCCATGGCTAGAATGTCAAACAGTTAAAATGTGAGTTTTAAAAGAAATCTGTCTTGATCTTAAAATTTCAGATATAGTAAAAACTGATACCTTTTTTGTAATAAAAAATGCATATGTGATTACATTGACAATAGAAATGATTATAACAACAATAATTGACTAACATATATATTTTGCCCATTGTTGATGTTTCATCACTTAAATACCTTATGTTTTATAAGCACACATTGCCTCAAATTTTCTTGTAAAAATTAGATTTTTCCTAGTTGAATAATTCAAGAATACAAATAAAAACTTTCACCCTTTTTCTTTATTCTAATAGCGAGTCAAAACAATTGTTTCACATTTTATAAGGTTGTTTTACCTCTCAAAAGGAAATATTATCTAAAAAAAATATAAAAAGTAAACAAAACACAAAAATCTGTTATTTTCATGTTTAAATGTTTAAATTATATTAAATGGCATCTAAACATGCTGTAATTGAAGAGAGCAAACAGATGTATGGATTAGTTTACAATTTCACGACATCTGAAGTAAAATAAAATAACCTTCATTATCAGCTGTTTCAGAAGAATCACCTTTATAAATAAATGATATATTTATATCACAAATAAAGAAATGATTAACATGAGCCACGTCACGACAAAACCAACGCAATACGTTTGCGACCAGCATTGATCCAGACCAGGCAGCGCGTCCACGCAGTCTGATCAGGATTCATGCTGTTCCCTTACAAACCCTATTACAAGTAGAGAAACTGATAGCGAACAGCATGGATCCTGATCAGACTGCGTGGATGTGCAGGCTGGTCTGGATCCATGCTGGTCACAAACACATTACATTGGTTTGTCGTGTCGCGGCTCATATATATATATATATATATATATATATATATCACACATAGTACTGATATAAATGTACTAAAGTACAATAACAAGTTCACACTCAGGGCTGTCACATTTATATAAATACAAAAAATAATTCAATAAATGTTAATGTACCCAAATCCACAATAATATATTAATTCTGATGAATTATTAAAAAGTCATTTTAAATTAATGGATTGATTTTTTTTCACCGACAAATTGATGTGAAATATTGCTGTTTTATTTTGAATTTACCAGTAAATGATTCCAGACACAAAGTGTCCATTGTAAAATCTTCTTCAATTAATCTAAACAAAGCCATTAAGAGCAAGTAAAGTAATTACAGTATATTTTATGATGACATTTATAACTTCACTCATCCTAGTTACATATATAGTCTCCCTCTATCATATGTGACATTACATGCTTGTCCCTAAATTGTAATATACCACACAATATTTCAAAACATTTTAGAAAACAAAAACAGCTACTGAAATAATGATGATATTTCCAAATCATAAAAACGCTCAAAATCAATGATTAATATAAAATAATAGGAAACTTAAGTATTTAAAGACTTGGGCTCTTTAATTTAAAATGAAATAGATTCCACAATAAATTTGTTCAAATAAAACAAAGTCTGATAATCTGTATGGCACCCTAAAGTAAAATATAATGATGATAAAATAAAATCGTTGTCATGATAATTGTCAAGTTCTATGATAACATCAGGCACTTCTAAATATATATACAACAAGAGCTGTCACAGGAGACAGCGAAGCTCGACTAATGAAATACTGGACGCAGTAAGGAGGACAAAACTATGAAAGAAAAATCAATTATGTATAATTATGTATTAAGTTACAGTAAAAAATAACATTTGTTAACATAAATTCCAAGATCAAGTGGAATAATTCTAGAAATAGTCATGCTAGAGTTATGGACCTTGCCACACAATATTTGTGTAATGATAAGAAATATATATTTGAAGTTTGAAGTAGATACCTTAAAAAATAAAGAAGTTATTATATTTCTTAAAGAAAATCCTAAGTTCAAAGAGAGATAAATCTGTAAATATTGCTTCAAGAGTTATGAACATTGTCACATAAAATGTAATTGATGATAAGGAATAAGTATTTGAAGTTTGAGGTAGATACCTTTAAAAATAAAAAAGTTAAAATAAAAAATAACATTTTTCTAGTAAATAAATCTAAGTTTATGGGGAGATAATTCTTGCAATATTGGTGCTAGAGTTATGAACCTTGTCACATAAGATGTGGATGATGATATAGTAAATATAATTGAAGTATGAAGTTGATCCCTTCAGAAATAAATAAGTTACAGTAAAAAATAATATTTTTTTATGGAAAATTCTAAGTTCAAAGGGAGATAAATCTGAAAATATTGGTGCTAGAGTTATGAACCTTGTCACATAAGATGGGGATGGTGATAACGTAAATATATTTGAAGTATGAGATTGATCCCTTAAGAAATAAAGAAGAAACAGTAAGAAATAGTATTTTTTGAGGAAAATTCTAAGTTCAAGGGGAGATAAATCTGAAAATATTTGTGCTAGAGTTATGAACCTTGTCACATAAGATGGGGATGGTGATAACGTAAATATATTTGAAGTATGAGATTGATCCCTTAAGAAATAAAGAAGAAACAGTAAGAAATAGTATTTTTTGAGGAAAATTCTAAGTTCAAGGGGAGATAAATCTGAAAATATTTGTGCTAGAGTTATGAACCTTGTCACATAAGATGGGGATGATGATAAGGTACATATATTTGAAGTATGAGGTTGATCCCTTAAGAAATAAAGAAGTATCAGTAAAAAATAGTATTTTTTAAGGAAAATTCTAAGTTCAAGGGGAGATAAATCTGAAAATATTGGTGCTAGAGTTATGAACCTTGTCACATAAGATGTGGTTGATGATAAGGAACATATATTTGAAGTTTGAAGTTGATACCTTAAGAAATGACAAAGTTATAGTGAAAAATATTTTACTGCACCAAAACTTTAATCTAAAATCTGGACGCGGACGCGGACGCCGACGCCGGGGCGAGTAGGACAGCTCTCCATATACTTCGTATAGTCGAGCTAAAAATATATATATAAACAATAAGAAAAAAGTCAAATAATAAGGTAATAAGTATGAATGTATAAGGATATAGTATACATACTCGTATCATCACCAAAGTCATCAAAGTCTTTGTCTGGTAACCCCATAACCTGTCTCACTACTATAGACTGACCAACCATATCATCTATAGCCTCTACCAGTAGTTGATAACTGAAATATTCAAACATGCTCCAGTGCTGTAAATTATTTATTGCATACCTAGCCCTGTAGAACATATAAAAGCACTAAGAATGAAATGATTACTCATAGCATACTCATATCATTTTCGCAAAAATATCTCCTTTAAGATATTAAACAAACTCTTTCTTAGCAAATGTTACAGATCTTGCTTATCCAATCAAATTGTGTGTAATGTAAACACTAAAATGTGTTGTTTAAAAACAGAAGACAAACTGCTCTTGGGTCATTTAAAGTTGAGTGTCTTTCAGTGTAGGTACATATTGTTTTCTTTGTGTTCCCTATAGAAAAACAAGAATTTGTAACAGAGTTACCAACGTCCCCCGCCTCGGGAAATTTTATATGAAGCATAAAATTGTGCTATTTCAAAAGATTGAGGTTGTAATGGATCTCAGGACATTTACTCCAAAATTATGATCAATGCTAGATCTGCAAATGTAACAATTAATTTGTTAAAAAAATAAAATGAAACACGGAATTTAAAAATCTATCATGTTAAGATTTGACCTATTAGTGTGACCTTGACCTTGGAGGTAGGGGAGCAGGTGTTGTGCATGACATAACGTCTTATTATTGAGACTATTTGTGCCAAGTATTTTCAAAATCCCTTGAACTATGAAGAAGTTATAGATTGGACACAAAATATACCCTTATAATAACAGACTATGTAAATCTTTGATCTCTAAGTGTGACCTTGACCTTGGAGGTAGGGACACAGATGTTACGCATGACATATCATCTAATCATTGTGACTATTTGTCCCAAGTATTTTCAAAATCCCTTAATCTATGAAGAAGTAATGGACGGGACAAAAAATATACCAAATAACAGACTCTGTTAACCTTTGACCTCTAAGTGTGACCTTGTTTGTAGGGGTGCAGGTGTTGTACCTTACATATTGTCTTATTATGGTGACTATTTGTGCCAAGTTATTTTAAAATCCCTTGAACTATGAAGAAGTTCTAGATTTGACACAAAATATACCCTATAACAGACTATGTTAATTTTTGACCTCTAAGTGTGACCTTGACCTTGGAGGTAGGGATGCAGGTGTTGCGCATGACACATCCTCTTATTATAGTGACTCTTTGTGCATAGTATTTTCAAAATCCTTGGATCTATGAAAAAGTTATGGACCGGACACAAAATATACCCTGTAACAGACTATGTAAGTATTTGACCTCAAAGTGTGACCATGACCTTGGAGGTAGGTGACTGTTTTTTGCGCATGACACATCGTCTGATTATTGTGAACAATTATGGCAAGTATTTACAAAATCCCTTCATAGATAAGAAAGTTATGGACCGGACACGACATATACCCTCAAATAGACAATGTTAACCTTGAATGAGCAAGTACGACCTTGACCCTGAAGGTACGGATCTGGTTGTTGCGCATGACACATCCTTTTATTATAACAAACATTTGTGCCAAGTTATTTCAAATTCCTTTGATAAATGACAAAGTTATGGACCGGACACGAAATATATCCTGTAACAGACTATGTTAATATTTGACCTCCAAGTGTGACCTTGACCTTGAAGGTAGGTGACTGGTTTTTGCGCATGACACATCGTCTGATTATTGTGAACAATTATGGCAAGTATTTACAAAATCCCTTCATAGATAAGAAAGTTATGGACCGGACACGACATATACCCTCAAATAGGCAATGTTGACCTTGAATGAGCAAGTGCGACCTTGACCCTGGAGGTAGGGGTCTGGTTGTTGCGCATGACATATCGTCTTATTATAATAAACATTTGTGCCAAGTTATTTCAAATTCCTTTCATAAATGACAAAGTTATGGACCGGACACGAAAGTGTGACGGACGGACGGACAGACGGACGGACGGACGGACGGACGTACCAAAATTTGATGTTTATGAGGCAAATTAGCTCATAAACACCACCTGGACCAACGTCCATAAGCAAAATAAGCTCATAAAAACAAAAAACAGCTCTTAATTTTAAATTTTATGGGCAACATGAGTTCTGCACATCCCCTTGTTGAGGTGAACATTTGAGCCAAGTTTAAAGAAAATCTTTCAATTACTGTAGGACTTGCAGAGCGGACACGACATACTGTCTAATATAAGATTGTGTTTGATATTTGACCTTCAATTGTGACCTTGACCTTGAGCTGACACATGGGCAACATGGGTTCTGCACATCCCCTTGCTGAGGTGAACATTTGAGCCAAGTTTGAAGAAAATCCTTCAAGTGGTATAGGAGTTATAGAGCGGACACGAAAATGGAGACGGACGGACGGACCGACCGACCGACTGACCGACGCGACAAAGCGAATCCATTATAGCCCCCCCCACATTTTGTGGTGGGGGTATAATGATAACTTGACATTACTAAACTTCCAATTTTCTGATGGCACCCTTGTTTTGGAGTCTGTGGTTTGGATTAGATACAGATAGATTCTTTAAACATTGCTTTCCCTTGTTTATCTATACTTTAATATTTTCCTATACAGAACATGTTATGTACATATTTCCTCAGAGTGAAAGTTAAACTAAGAACTGACATACCCTGCCTTGTAGAGTTGCTTGTGTACAGGTTTCTGGGGTATGAATGACATCTTGGAAACACAAGTATTAAGTTGATGTAGAAATGTTTCCTTCCGTTCATCATCGTCATCCATTTGCAATATTTCCTGGATGAAAATAAACCATTTTATATATGCACATGTATTATACATTGTTTATTATCCTTCAATTCCAAATACAGCAAGCACTGTGTTAATAACTATTTTTGTTTATGTATTTTCGATGTCATGTGATATTTACTCATAAACTACCGATATTACACCATCTAGTCAATCAAGCTTAGCTTAATACATAAAGTGTCAGCAAGGATTAACTCTATGACATTTTAATGTTCAATCATCTGATTAAAACCTATTTAGGTTTACACGTATTTAGTTTCACTCTGCTACGATAAAAACTTGTAGTTTATTTGAACCTCTTTTGAGTCCACTTCCTGAAACTATCCAGTATTGATTGTAATATGATGAAACATAATCATAACTACCTGATTGTAAGAGATTACTGTACGGTTTTGAATTACTGGAGTCTATGCATCTCTTGGCTACAGCAGGTGTTGCTTTGAAATTTGTAACACCCTAGGTAAGCCATAAATCATTTTTCCTGTTTTGGCATCATATGACCTTAACTGTGTTGGTGCATGGGAAAACCAAACAAACCAAGTATCGATCAAACCCATGACCCCTGGGTTAAGAAACCAACACCTTAAAAAACATCTAGGTCATCTCTTGCCTTAAATAAATCTGTTACTATTATAAAGAAAGAGACAGAAATCTTACATCTTTGAGGTCATCTACGCTCAGATCCCATGTTCGGCCATCACGTTCCTCCAGTGGTACAAGTTCTAGATGGAGTTGCTTGAGTTCTTGTACTCCATCATGATGATAATGTAACTGTAATAAATATATATCTCAATATAATACTGACATTTTGTATATCTCATATTACTCAAATAATTCATAATTATGTTTAACACTACTTTAACAAACAATATGACCATTTAGAACAAGCACAGCAAAGGGTCTCTCATGGTTTCTGATGTTCTAGTCATCATGCATCATTGCAAAAATCCCTGTGACAGTTTGGTTAGACACAACAAGCTCTCTCTGTTGTAAGTGTAGAAGTGGGCATAAAAACTTGCAGACACAGGGTGAAAGTTTATACTGGATTTGCATACAAATATAATATTTGTCCTCCAATAAATACCTGACACACCATTAAATATAAGTAGCAAACTGAAGAAGATTTGATTAGCACAACAGTGAGATCTGTGTAGATCTGTGTAAGAAATAGTACAAAATGAAGCTTATCATAATTAAATGTCAAACTTTGAGACTTTTCACTTATTCTAAATACACTGTAGCCTATTTACCTTAGGGTTACATCTCTGGAATATTTCCTCCTCAGTGATATAAGCATCTATAGGACTGGAGGGCCTGTCTGGTGTCCTCATACCTCCAATAATCTCCTCCAGGATATGTCTCATCATCTGATCTGCTTCCTTTGTCTGTAACTCCGACTGAATATACACATGAAACACTTGTAATAACACAAGAAACATTCATAACATACACATGAAACACTCATAATATACACATGAAACACTCATAATATACACATGAAACACTTGTAATGTACACATGAAACACTCGTAATAACACAAGAAACATTCATAATATACAAATGAAACACTTAATGTAATAACACAAGAAACATTCATAATATATACATGAAACATTCATAATATACACATGAAACATTCATTACATACACATGAAAAATTCATAATATAGAAGCAAAACATTCATAATATACACATGAAACATTCATAATATACACATGAAACATTCATTATACAAATGAAACATTCATAACATACACATGAAACATTCCAAATATACACATGAATCACTCATAACATATACACAAGAAACATTCATACACATGAAACATTCATAATATACACATGAAACATTCATAATATACACAAGAAACATTAATAATATATACACATGAAACACTCATAACATACACATGAAACACTCGTAACATACACATGAAACATTCATAATATACATATGAAACTTTCATAATATACACATGAAATATTCATAATATACACATGAAACATTCATAATATACACATGAAACATTCATAATATACACATGAAACACTCCTAATATACACATGAAACATTCATAATATACACATGAAACATTCATAATATACACATGAAACATTCATAATATACACATGAAACATTCATAATATACATATGAAACTTTCATAATATACACATGAAACACTCCTAATATACACATGAAACATTCATAATATACACATGAAACTTTCATAATATACATATGAAACATTCATAATATACACACGAAACACTCATAATATACACATGAACATTCATAACATATACATGAAACATTCATAACATACACATGAAACATTCATATATACACATGAAACATTCATAACATATACATGAAACATTCATAACATACACATGAAACATTCATAATATACACATATTCACAATTATACTTGACTGATAACTTAATTATTTTGTAAGCAAGTGGAAATAAAGTCAAATCTGTTTAGTCTAAGAAAAAAAAAGTTCTAATTGACAAGTTTATTTTCTCAAAACAGGAAATCTAAAAGAATAATTGTTAAAATAAAAGCCAACAGTTACAGTTTAGCCATATGTGGTATTTGTTTTTATTCCAAAGTTTTGACTGCCTAAATAATAAACAATTACTTTCAGAAAATCTTACCTCTAGTTTAAGCCTCTGACCCTTGTATTTGTCCTCAGAAAACGCTATACCTCTCAAAGTCACAAGTAGGTCAGCTCCCCCACATACAACAGGCCGAGTCTCAAACTGCCATTGTTCCTGGAACACTCCAGCATTTGGAGATTTAAACACAAATGGAAACTTCATTGTCTCCCCTGGTAGAATAACACCACTACTGTTGTTGAAGTAAAATCTCTGTACATTTGCCTGTGCTAAATCAAATGGATTCTCTTTAGGCTTTTTCTGAAAAGGATAAAATAAAAATATGATAAAACATTAATATTTTATCAAACAATTTTTTTTTTAAGAACTTTGTAAAGTGTTAAGTTTCATATTCATTATGTTGTAACTATGGTAAGTATTCTCAGCTCATCATGCTTAATATTAATAAATTTCCAAAGAAATCATATTAAAGGTCCACAATTAAAATACTGGTAATATTAGTAAATAAATAGGTATATAAAATTATCTCGCTAACACTGTCAGTGTGTTAGTATGATTCATGTCAAACAAGTCAAAACAATAACAAAACAAGATAGAAATGTATGAACCATGCTTACTATAATTATTGATTTAAAAAAAAGTATAAAAAATTCAATCTCAGTCAAACTTATACCAAATTAAATTTCTTTTTGGATATTGAGAAATGTGCTTGATTTTATGAAAATTGTTGAGAAATAAACGATAAACAAACTACTAGATAGCTCGACGTACCTTCCAGTCATAGTAGACAGAGGTTGTACCATTGTTGATTATTGTCAGATAGCTGGTCACTCTATCACCAGAGAAAGTCTCGAAGTTTACACGAGCCTCGATACCAACCTGATCCTTAAAACTATAACTGTCACCAGTCCACCGGGCCGCCTGACCAGCAAACTGTATAGAGGGGCCAAATACTGGGGTAGGGTTGCTGTCATTTGTACCACGGTTCTCACTGTACACAAAGACAAAATTATTATCATGTGAATTAATACACGTGTTCATTTATACAAAATACTGACAGAAGGGGCAGAACACTGGTCAACGTGCCTGTCTATCAACTTGAGGTTTGTAGATGCTTCCTCAAATGACACCAGAGCAAATAAACGCAGAAAGGTATGCAGGCAAGAGTGCTTTTAATAAGCTCTAACTGTTACCACAATCAGGGTTAAATAAATACATGGAATGAATTTTATGAATAACTTTGTAGACAGTTGGATGTCTTCTCAAATGGACCCTGTCTATTGTTTTGATTTGCAGCCCTAGTTTTTCAAATTAAAACTAATGTCAAATATAATAATTCTTTAAATTAAAAAAGTATATGTTTAAAAAAAAAAAATTTTGCTTTAGATTCAAAATGTATTATTATCTTTAAAGAGGATTATCATAATAGAGCTGTTAAACGGAAAATCACTTCACAATAAGTAATAAAACTTTAATGAATTTAACATACACTGTACTAATTTCTGATAGTCCTCTTAAATATATATGTATATAATATACATATGTGGTATACCTCAAGACAGAATATTACAACAAACATGCGATATATATATACATGTATATAAAACTAACCCAGTGAACTCTTCGTCGTCATCATCATCCTCTACCAACATTTCCATCTCTGTGACTGGCTGTCTCTCCATCTCCATTAACATTTGAGACGAGCCTCCTGATTGGTCAGCTTCTCCACCAAATGGGTTGGCTGTTCCAATCACTTCCAAACCATCAAAGTCCTGTAAACAGCATTTTTATATTTGTATATATACTTTGAAAGTGTTATTTACAGGAAATGTTAAGTTACAATGCATTTCATATGATAAACACTGATGCTGAAACTGACGGATTGGGACAAGTTATTGACGATTAGCGCCAAATTATTTTCTATCATTCAATCAGGCCCAAGCTCCACTTTCTTTATCATGTTGACAGTTGTGAAAGAGTTTTTTTCTTTGTCCACAGTGAACAGTTTAAATAAGAGAAATATAAGGCAAATGTCATAAAATAAAAATGTCCTTTTGTATTTAAATGGTTTTAACAAAGTGTTAAGAAAATTTATTACTCTATTCTTTATAAATATTGCATTAAAATTTGACTTTAATACTACGCTTTTCGACATATCAGCTGTCAACTGGATGCCATCATCTAGCCAGTAGTTGCATGTCCTGTTATATTATAAGTCCCTGATACTAATTACTAGCTGACTTAAAGTTCAATGAATGAACATTTTCAATAGTTCATATATCAATGTACATTTATTTATTGTTGTGTTATATCAATAACTGACTGAGAACTCTATGCAAGGAATGTTATCAAAAACCAATGCAAAATCTGATTAAATAGGCATTACAAATATTTGGTATCCTTCCATATTGTTGATTGAAAAATAAAATATCATATACAATGAGCAGTTCAAATGGAAAAATGTTCCAAGTACAAGTTTAGCATGGTATGAAGCTGGACTTTAAACTGTACTTATATCTGTATATTATGAACAAGAGCTGTCGGTAGGACAGCGACGCTTGACTATTCTTAGTGCTTGATAGTAAAATAGCCTTGATAATGTAAAATTTTCTAGGTAAAGAAAAGGGTAAAAAATTTCTTTAAATCCACATTACAGATATAGGCCTTGGAGAGAGTCCTATAATGCTCTCAAATAAGACTATAAAATCTCAACTTGTTTCAAAGCCATATGTCAATGGACTATAAAAATATTTGAGGTATTACAAAAACTTTAAAGTAAATTCTAAGTCAAAAAAGGGGCATAATTCTGTCAAAATGCTTGATAGAGTTACCTCCTCATGTCTACAGGTTGGGGTCATGATGGTGAACAAGTGTGCGAAGTTTCAAAGCCATTTGTAAATACACTTTGAAAATATTTGAGGTATTACAAAAACTTTAACATAAGTGGTTACGCCGACGCGGACACCAACACAGACGCTGACGCTCGGGTGACTACTTATTCTTATCGAATAGTCCAGCTAAAAATGAAGCTTACAGGTTTATGGGGATCGAGTTCCTCCTCAAACTGGTTCAATTGCTTCTTCCTTTGCTCCAGGTAGCCTGACTTGTGCCACGGGTAATGCATGGGGCGGGTGTGAGTAGGAGCCCAGTGCCAACCTTTAAAGCAATTCAGGGTGTTATAAAATCTACATTTACTTCTCTGGTATAATTTATATAATATGCAACTGGTCATATTGAGCAAATAGCTTTGTTACAAGTAAATTGAACAAATCAGTGGTGGTGTGGCTGAGTGGTTAACATGTCATACTAGTAATCCAAGGATTGCTGACCGCGTGGGTTCAAACCCCATCAGGGGCAAGTCATTGTTTCTTTGAAACTTTACAGTACTGAATGGTTCCAATAACGGAACTGAGAGTGTTTCAAAAAGCGTACAGCTTCCAACATAATCAAACTTAAATAAATTTATATAGACTAAACTAAGTTAAGTTTTTAGATTTTGTGAAACTTTATAAGCTATTATAGTTGCCAAAGCTACCTAAGGCAGTCAGAGAACAAATGAGCTGTGTCACGACAAAACCAACATAATGGGCTTGCGACCAGCATGGATCCAGTCCAGCCTTCGCATCCTTGCAGTCTGATCAGGATCCATGCTGTTTGCTATCAGTTTCTCTACTTGTTATAGGGTTTGTAGGCGAACAGCATGGATCCTGATCAGACTGGCAGATGCGCAGGCTGGTCTGGATCCATGCTGGTCGCAAACCCATTATGTTGGTTTTGTCGTGACACGGCTCAAATTATAATACGTAGTGAGATATTTCCAACAGTTATAACTTCAAAATATAAAAAACATCTTTACACATACACTCCAAAAGAAAATCATTACCCATATCACAGCAAAATTACATTTTCTAATCAGGAAAATTGACATTAAGTTCTTTCTACATGATTAAGCAATAAGCATCAAACTGAATATCAATGAAAGAAATAAATTTCATCAAACCAACCTTTTTCTTCTCTAATCTTGGCAGGGAGGCCAATATGCTCGATGGGTGGGGGATAACCTTTCTCTGTCTGGGTCAAGGTCATACTGAAAATATAAATATCAAAATGAGGCTGATATTCTTTATTATGTGGGTGTTCTCAACATATATATTTTAGAAATTTAACCTATTCTAAAATGGAATGCTAAACAGTGTGGCCTTTGACACTGATTGTTGGGCATAACTTTTACCTGTTTGAATTTGAGTATTTTTTTCTTTTATATATTTTTCTTTTTGAATCATCCCTTCACGATTTAAGGGATTTCAGTATTTGAACTATCAAAAATATAGTCTGGGCAGACTGTGCAGCTCTGCAGACTGTTAATTATTGTCCCTAGCATTACAAAGGGTTAACATTCTTATATATATATAAAACATGCCAACATGTACCTTATATCTTATCAATATCGGGGGTTTTAACATGATGTTTTGACAGTTTTTACAATATCATTTAAACACTATACAAATATTAATTTAATATTTGCAACAAATAAAAATATAACTTAAAATTTTTTATTGGCAAACAAAAAGCATCCATACTTTTTAAAGTAAAATCATGTTCAACATTATAACCATATACATAGTTAAATTCTGGGGAAAATATTACCATTACAATTAGCACTGCTTTATTACCTCCCCTGGATAAATTTCAGCTTCATACTTTATAAACATTTAGAAATAATGAAAAAGGCTTCAGAGGAGCGTTCAATATTATTTAACAAAATAAGTAATGTTTTTTTTTCTACTCATATACATGTATATTTTCAATTAAATGTACATATCACAACATGCATGTATAAAAAAAACATGCATACAATAAAAGTACAATGTAAAATACTACATGGTTCTATGATATATATTCTATAAAGCTAATATAAGTGTGGTGAATAACACTAATTTATGTTCATGTCACATAAAAATGTGAACTTTTAATTTAAAATATAACCTGTACAAACAATTTATAGGTTAAGTTAATTCTTTTACAGCTAAAAAACATCTTGACAATAAATGGAAATCAAGTCAGGTAAGTTTAAATTAATTCCTATTTTTTTTTTGATAATATATTGTAGTCTTTTTTCCCCTTTAAAATGCTTCTCTCTTAACTTTATATCAAAAAAATTTCTATTATATGTATTGGTTGAAAAATATTTCAATATTGGCATGAAAAAATTTCTATGTATTTTTTTTCTTTTAATACTTCATTTTTAAAAAAAAAAAAAATTTTAAGTTAAAAAAAATCAATTTCATAGAAATGATTGTTGTTGTTGTTGTTCTTTTAGCCAGTCATGACAATTATGTATAGAGAATATGGGAACTTTTTAATTAACAGGGAAAATTATTTTTTGTAGTAAAAAATCCCATTGTTTCATGAAAACAAAAATTTCTTAGTAAAGCATGATAGTAATAAAAATAAGCATATTATATATAGCAACTACTTATACAATGTACAAGTGTGTGGGGGGTTGTTGTTGTTTTTTTCATTCTGTCTATATTTTGCTATACAACAATTATAAAATACATGCAGTGGACAATAACTAGTGGGGATGATGGCGTCAAATTTTCACCTGCGACCGGAACTTAACGTGTGGATCCATAGAGGCTTCTTACTTTCACTGTTATGAAATAATAATCATACATGTACAAGACACGTAACTTATAAACATTTATATCTTATAATAAAATGGGTTATCTTGATATATAATGAAGATTAAGGACAGGTCATATATTGCTCAGTATAAATAATTGTATGGTTATATAACCTGAACACACAAGGTGAGGGTTGTATGGAAAACAACTGTTTAATGTTAAAACATGGCCATAATAACCATTTTTATCATATAAACCGCAGCGCAGGAGTGTAATGAAGCCATTTAATAAAAATGATATTACACTAGTGTAATAACACTTTGATGTGACGTCATTTGCCCTATATATAAACATAGCATTCAAGCGCGCTAGTGTTAGCGTACACTATAGGCGTGTCAGTGAAAAATTACTCTTTTTAACAGTTTACCAGTCTTATTTTATATATGTGATAAATAGAATATTATATTTGTGTAGATTCAATACTAAATTTATTGAACTCGTTGAATAAAACAATATTATGCACGGCAGAGGCTCGCATAAAATGATTTTATTCAACGAGTTCAATAAATTTAGTATTAAACATACACTCATTTAATATCCTCTATTAACATTAAATCAATAACACTGCACAATCGCTTTTTGATTAAAACCCCACAAAAAAGTTTTATAAACCTGCAGCACTGTTTATATACATAGATAATATAACAATCAGGATTGTCCAATTGAAATTGATGTTACAAACATGTTATACTATAATTGCAAATCTAATGATTATTTTTCGTCATACCTACTTTTCAAAACACTCTTGTTATAATTTGAATTATGCAAAGTCACTTTTTAGAAGAAACATTTTCTTTGCAGAGTTTATATGCTTTTGTTGCACATTAGAAAACAATGGTAATGATAATAAAATTAACAATGATCATGATGATACATGTATAGGATCTCAGGAGTTGCCATATAATATATGCTTTTGTATGGTAATTCTCTTATAAACTGTTATGACAAAATGATGTCATGACAATCTTATACTACACATGTATAGTATATATAGAAATATAAATGATAATTATACATTGAAAACATGTGAAGTCATGTAATAAAAGCGAATACTGATGCTTGTGCATTAAACTAATAATAATAAATATGCTAGAATTAAATGTCAACTAAATAATGAATAATAAACATACATGTAACATGACACTATTAACAGGACCAGCTTTTATCAATATTCAAATCTTCCAATTTCTGACTTTACAAATTAAAGTTGTCTTACTGTAATGCTTAGTAATTCCTGCCAAAAAAATTTAACATCGTCCAAAATCGTAATAAATCGGTCATTTCAGGAATGTTATTTTTCACAATTTTTGGTATTCAATTTTTTTTAACCATTTATAACCAGAATTTAGTACATAGCGATAAAGGATGCAAATAATCTAATGCCCAAGATTTTGAAAGGTTACTATGGAAATAACTGGTTTGCTCTAAAATTTGCCAATATTATAATTTTTTGGCAGGAAAGCATTACACTAATAATGCCTTAATATAAATATTTGCCCTGAGTTTATACTAAAATATTCACTACTAATGACATAATTAGTTAATCTTGTACATCAATGATTAAATACTTCTGAACTAGATTAACTTATACAGGAAAAGCTGTAATAACATGCTTTAATCTACAATGATCCAAGGCAAATCACAGTGCTGAATTTCTATGCCAAAAATTCAATATATGTATAATTTAACAACATTTTTAAAACTTAAGCACTGTAACTTAACTACTGTGTAGATATAAAAAAAGTAGAAAGAAATAATCTAAACAGAGATCAAATGCTTTTTTTCCAGGATGATTTAAGAAATTGATAGTACGAAAATTTACTTATGAAATTTGTTACTACAAATATTTCAATGGCCAGTGTCAATTCAATTTTTCAACATTTCAGTTCAATATTTTCTTTAAGTTTTATAAAGTCAAGCAAAATAGTCTATCAACAATTGAAACTGGTGTAATTTTGGAATAATATTTCTTGATAAAAGAAGAAGCTCTGTCTAAACTATTATGTAAAAATATATCCCTTACTAGTAAGGTACTCTGAAATAGCAAAAACGTAAAACTTGTTTGTTTCAATACACTACAAAAATAATAACAACGAAAAGTCAACTATCATCTATAAATAGACCAGCAGGATTTCATGGCATCTCAAGAAAATAACACCATAAAGTCTGGCTAAAATAAACACTGACAAAATTTATTTAAGATTAAACAAGAAATTAACACAGTAAAACATTTTGTAGAATTAATACATGTGAGCCGCGTCACGACAAAACCAACATAATGGGTTTGCGACCAGCATGGATCCAGACCAGCCTGCGCATCCGGGCAGTCTGATCAGGATCCATGCTGTTCGCTTACCAACCTTATAACAAGTAATGAAACTGATAGCGAACAGCATGGATCCTGATCAGACTGCGCGGATGCGCAGGCTGGTCTGGATCCATGCTGGTCGCAAACCCACTATGTTGGTTTTGTCAACAAACATAGTAAGATTTACTTCCCTTGGCACCCAGTACACGAGTACTTAACCAAAATAATCTAAAATATGACCACCTGAACCAGACTGGTTCTCAAAATAAAAACAAAAAAACTTGTTTTTGTCAAAAATGAAACTTACTGTACACCAGTCAGATCATCACCAAACTTTTCCTGTTGCTTCCAAAACTCACTTCCAACACGGACTGAAATGTGACATCATTCAGATAACAAAATCTGCATATCATTTACAGTAATACGTCACATTCATAATAAAATACTCATCATTATTTAGGCAAAACTTCTAAGCTTAAATCAAAGTATCTATATAGTTTAAATCAGTTAATTTAATATTGCTCACAAATGTTTATGTCTTAAGAACCTAAAGAATCATTTGCAATGTCTCAAGGATTAATTTATATTGTTATCATATTGAGGTAAATAAAGCAAGGATAAGTTGAATTTTAACCATTCTCTTATACTATATAGACTGTAGAATTTGATATTGATAGTTAAAATCTATTTCATGCAATGACAGTCTGCAATTTCTACTCTTTTCATGTAAAAAAAATTGAATTAGCTTTTCTATTTCAATTGAAATTTTTATTTCATTTTACAGTCTAACTTGCCCATGCGACCACGTGTATTAAGCGACTTTTGTCTTAAACGACCACTTTAAATTCCCCCCGATCATTTTCTCTCTATATCTTTAATGTATTAAGCGACTTTTGCTCAACGCGACCAGCGACCGCTAATTAGTCACCTAATTGAGATAAAGCTTTTCATTAAACGACCACTTTTACCTGTCAAGTAATTGTGTTTTTAGAGAACGCCGCTTTGTAATGTCACAAGTGTCAACAATCAAAACACAACAAATAAACGTGTGAAAAACTCTATTTCCCAAACCGTTTTAGCGTATGCAAATGAAGTTAAGTATACGTGTGACGTGTTTTATCCAATAATATTGGATAAATAATGCAACGCTCCGCCCCTTCTGAGATGGTGTATACGCTTCGCTTGTTGACATTTAGACTGCATTGAATTGACCTTGAACTTTATCAGCAATTAAATTTATCATAACAATTAGATGTGGTGTGTTTATTTCAAATGAAAAAATGCACAACAGAAAACATCTTCACTAATAGGGTTTTCGTGTTGGAGACAAGGAAAAACAACAGAGAAGTTAACAAATTCTGGAAAAAATGTCAAACATGTACGTAATGGATCAAAACTATTTTGCACCCTTATTTGTCAATAAATATCAGAAAGTTATTTATTACATTTGCATCCATTTAGATTATCGGAGCGTACTAATTATTCAACATTTATATAAAAATGAAGTTGAAAAACATTCCTACCACATAAGAAAGATGTCATTTATAAATTTTGACTTTTATATCATGCTGACTGTCTTAAGAGACCGTTTCATTAAGTGACCGTTTTGGGTCTTTCCCTTGCGCGGTCGCTTAATACACGTTTGACTGTATTACCAAAATTTGGGAAATATCTTTATTTTAATACCTATCTGCAATTTCATTTCATTAACTGACTTTGGGCTAATTTTTATACTTACATCCTTTTCCATAATCTACAGCAGGGATAGTTCTATCTATGATATATCTGTCCTCCTGGATTGCCCTGTAGTTATCAGCCTGATTCATAGCAAGATCTTCTGGACTCTTCTGTAGTAACTCTACAATAAGTAAAATAAAGAAAAATAAAAAATAAAAACAATAGAAAAAGTAAGAAAAATAAACAAACATGAGTTTGAGTTCTACTTTTATTGAGTTTAGGTATAAGTGTAACATCATTCAGTCTGATACAAGGCCTTGAGGTTATAAACTTGTTTTTCCAAGTTTTTTCTTGAATCTCAGGATTACCATTGGTCAATGTACATAATCAAATACAAAATGTACCTGAGATCTGAGCTTTAGCTTAGAAAAATACTTATAACCCTTGACCCTGTTCTCCCTACTTAGCTTTATGGACAGGTAATATCATTATATACTCATTATCTAAATCCAATGTCTACTTATGAATTGAATTTAGCTGTCAAATATACATCCTGTTTTGGCCAAAGTGGTGGTATCCAATATATACTTTATTGGACAGTTGAGTGTATGACCTTTTTTCATCAAGGATAAAAATAGTCAACAAGAAAGTCCATATGTTTAAACAGATACAGAATGTTCAAATGGCAGCCAAAGATTTTTCTTCATGCATTATGGAAAAAACTTAAGTATCTAAATGAGAAGCATACACATGCCAGCCTCAACAAAACTGTTAAAATTTTGTGTTATTACTTCATCATAATAAAGAGGTTTGTCTGTCTAAATTGAGCATTTACCGGTTTTGTTTGATTATATTTGATGCAAACAAGATTGCATTTGAGAAAAATGCTATGCCACCGCAATAAAACAACACTAAATAGTAGTGTAGGAACAGATTTTTTTGTTTCTATACAATTGAAAATTGTCATAATGCATATCTAATTCTTATTATCAGATTAGTGGTTAAATCTATTGTTAACTCAATAAAAGATCAGAGTAGGAATATATCAATGCACTTGAGTCTAGTGAATTTGGTGGTGAAGGTCATATTTCACACAGCCTAAAATTTCATGACTGCATCAAAGGACAACATGTAATACACTTTGTCAAAATCTAGGTCAGCTGATATCAAAGTTCACTTTTAATTTTGACACTAGAGGCAAAATTTGAACAACTTTGGTAGAGTACCTATATATGATATCATTTAACAAATATTAAAGCTCTAAGCCTTGTACCTTCAGACAATAAGATTTTTTTGATTTTTTACTATATGTATATATTGAAAATCAATGACCCCGAAGCGGGGGCAATTTTGACCCCAGGGCTATAATTTGAACAATCTGGGTAGAGGTCTATCAGACAATGCCTTATGCAAAATATCTACGCTCTAGGCCATTTGGGTCTTTACAAGAAGGTATTTTAAATTTTTACTATATGTACATATAGTGAAAATCCATGACCCCCGGGGCAGGGCTGATTTTGACCCCAGGGCTATAATTTGAACAATATTGGTAGAGGTCTACCAGACAATGCCTTATGCAAAATATCTAAGCTCTAGGCCTATGGGTCTTTACAAAAAGGTATTTAAGTTTTTACTATATGTACATATAGTGAAAATCAATGACCCCCGGGGTGGGACCGATTTTGACCCCAGGGCTATAATTTGAACAATCTTGGTAGAGGTCTACCAGATAATGCCTTATGCAAAATATCTAAGCTCTAGGCCTTTTGGGTCTTTACAAGAAGATTTTTTAAATTTATTCTTATAATTCCTTTTGGTTGCCATGGCAACCAGATTTCTGCATGGAATTAAATTCTTTGAACAACTTTGGAAGCCCTTCACCCAAGGATCAATCCTGCCAAGTTTGGTTGAAATTGGACTAGTGGTTTTTCACAAGAAGATTTTTTAAGTTCACTATATAATCTATATAACACACACACACACAAATAAACAAACGAACAAACACACACACACACAGGTGAATCGCTATATGCCACCGCATCGCAGATGCTGCGGTGGCATAAAAAACTTGTGTTTCACCATCATTGTTATTAATTATTATAATAAGGGGATATTTCAACTTTACTGACAGAAGAAGACCTAGGATCATGTACATTCATATTTTAGGCACAAGCAGGTACCCGAGTAAAACCGCCAACTTATCTCAAGCAAGTTAGGTATTTATCTAACACAGTGGGATGTGAACCCAAATCCGCAAAAGAATCTTGAGAATGCCATAACTGGCCTTAGCTTTAATTAAGTAAGTACATATTGTTATTATCATATAAAATAACAAATTGTTTACTTGAGATATATCCCTGCTGCTTTTTCCTCTCCATCATTTTAAGTTGCCAGTTGCGTAAAGCATTACTCTCATTGTTACGACCCCATTTGTCATTGTCATAGCGACGTTTCTTTTTCTCATACTTCAAGGTCAGAGCAGATGACTGCATGTCTTCTTTCCTTACAGTTGCTATGTCCTGTGAAAACATTCATACATTACTTTATGCCATTTATATATATTTGTTGCTGTGTTCTTAAATTACCTGACTAACTCATTTAAAAGTTCTGATTACCAAAACATTTATTTTACCATCTAAAGACTTAAAAATAAAATCCATTGTCTAATCACCAAAGCAAACCATTAAGTCAAAGTTTTGGTAAAATAACACATGAACTGTAATTTCTTTTATAATTGTTTCATGTTTACTTGAAATAAAATATGTGACCAGTATATTACCATAAGATCGCCACGATCAACGGCTTCCTTCTGGAAGTCCTCGTAATTTCCCAGAATGCTGTGGGCTACCACATTACCTGCAGCATCATACCTCGGTCCAGCAAAACCTGTCACAAATATTAAAAAAATTAGTCATGAAATAGTGGATTGTTTGACCTTACAAAATTAGGGTCACATACTAAAGCATTAAATGTAACAGGTACAAGACTAGTCTAGGCTATTTCATTAACTGATCATGTTTCAATGGTAACAAACTTAAATAGAAGGCTTATGAATATCTCAATTTTCCAATAATTTCAAACATTTGATTTACTTTACTTAAGTCTACCACAAATACCTTACATTTAATATTTTTCATGTAAAAAAAATCTATAAAAAACATTGATTGTGAACACAACAAGAGCTATCGGTAGGACAGCACGCTCGACTATTCTTAGTGCTTGATAGTAAAAGAGCCTTGATAATGTTAAATTTTTTAAGTTCACAAAAGGGCTATTTTTTTTTATAAATTCATGTTATAGACCTCAGAGAGAGTCTAATTATACAGTATTGGCTTGACTATTCGGAAGGTAATGTCACAAGGGTGTTTTATTGAGAATAATAATACTAATTACCTATGAATACATAAATTTGACAGAAAAGGTACAAAGGCTTGTTATTAAGATGTTTTATCAAGTAAGTCACTGCTTTATTATTATGAATGCATAAAATCGTCCCAAAAAAGGCACAAACCCTTCAGTAGTTATTGAGATAACAGCTTACAAACAAAACTTTACCATGAATTTCTAAGTTAAAAAGGGGAGAAAAATCAGCCTAAATGCAAGATAGAATTATGGATCTTTGTCAGTGACCTACAATTATGACCCTAAATGCATATGTGAAGTTTTAAATAAATATCTTTAATAGTTATTGAGATATGTAAAATTTGCATATAAACATTAACCAAGAGACTAAGTAGAAAAGGGGATATGAATCAGCCTTAATGCAAGATAGAGTTATGGAACTTGGTCAGTGACATACAATTATGACCCTCCAATTATGACCCTAAGTGCATGTGTAAAGTTTCAAGTAAATATCTTTGAAGACCTTTAACCTTTAACCAAAATTTCTAAGTTTCAAAGGGGCAAATAATTCTGCAAATATTGCAGGCAGAGTTATGCAATTTTGCAAACTGATGTACATTGTTTCTTTAAAATAGAATTTAAATTTCAATTGAATATCTCAAGCAATAATTGAGATATCTGACTTTACACAAAAACTTTAACCAAAATTTCTAAGTTAAAAAGGGGCATAATTCTGTCATTATTGTAGGCAGAGTTATCCAACTTGTCAATCTGATGTACCTTGTTACTATAAATAAGTATTGTAAGTTTCAATTGAATATCTTAAGCAATAATTGAGATATTTGACTTTACAAAAAACTTTAACCAAAATTTCTTAGTTAAAAAGGGGCATAATTCTGTCAATATTGTAGGCAGAGTTATCCAACTTGTCAATCTGATGTACCTTGTTACTATAAATAAGTATTGTAAGTTTCAATTGAATATCTCAAGCAATAATTGAGATATTTGACTTTACAAAAAACTTTAACCAAAATTTCTAAGTTAACAAAAGCTGTCACAGGAGACAGCGAAGCTTGACTAATAAAATACTGGACGCAGTAAGGAGGACAAAACTATGAAAGAAAAATCAATTATGTATAATTATGTATTAAGTTATAGTAAAAAAATAATATTTGTTAACATAAATTCCAAGATCAAGGGGAATAATTCTAGAAATAGTCATGCTAGAGTTATGGACCTTGTCACACAACATTTGTGTAATGATAAGAAATATATATTTGAAGTTTGAAGTAGATACCTTAAAAAGAAAAGAAGTTATTATGTTTCTTAAAGAAAATCCTAAGTTCAAAGAGAGATAAATCTGTAAATATTGCATCAAGAGTTATGAACAATGTCACATAAAATGTAATTGTTGATAAGGAATAAGTATTTGAAATTTGAGGTAGATACCTTTAAAAATAAAAAAGTTATAATAAAAAATAACATTTTTCTAGTAAAAAAATCTAAGTTTATGGGGAGATAATTCTTGCAATATTGGTGCTAGAGTTATGAACCTTGTCACATAAGATGTGGATGATGATAACGTGAACATATTTGAAGTATGAAGTTGATCCCTTTAGAAATAAATAAATAACAGTAAAAAAAAAATTTTTATGGAAAATTCTAAGTTCAAAGGGAGATAAATCTGAAAATATTGGTGCTAGAGTTATGAACCTTGTCACATAAGATGGGGATGATAATAACGTAAATACATTTAAAGTATGAGGTTGATCCCTTAAGAAATAAAGAAGAAACAGTAAGAAATAGTACTTTTTGAGGAAAATTCTAAGTTCAAGGGGAGATAAATCTGAAACTATTGGTGCTAGAGTTATGAACCTTGTCACATAAGATGGGGATGATGATAAGGTACATACATTTGAAGTATGAGGTTGATCCCTTAAGAAATAAGGAAGTAACAGTAAAAAATAGTATTTTTTAAGGAAAATTCTAAGTTCAAGGGGAGATAAATCTGAAAATATTGGTGCTACAGTTATGAACCTTGTCACATATGATGTGGTTGATGATAAGGAACATATATTTGAAGTTTGAAATTGATACCTTAAGAAATGACAAAGTTATAGTGAAAAATATTTTACTGCACCAAAACTTTAATCTAAAATCTGGACGCGGACGCCGACCCCGACGCCGGGGCGAGTAGGACAGCTTTCCATATACTTCGTATAGTCGAGCTAAAAAGGGGCATAATTCTGTCAATATTGTAGGCAGAGTTATCCAACTTGTCAATCTGATGTACCTTGTTACTATAAATAAGTATTGTAAGTTTCAATTGAATATCTCAAGTAATAATTGAGATATTTGACTTTACAAAAAACTTTAACCAACGCAGACGCGGACGCGGACGCTGACGCCGACGCCGGGGCGACTACAATAGCTCTCATATTCTTCAAATAGTCGAGCTAAAAACGCCATACATCCTTAGTCAAAATATTTTAATGACCCAAAACTTGATTCTGTGATATTTTTGTTCCTTGTCAGAATCAAGCTTCTTTCTATTTACACAAAAAAAGCACAATTCCTCAACTTTAAGTATAATTATTAGGACTACAAACATCCTATAAATCATTTATCTCAAAGATATGAAAAGATTTTTTTAACAGACAAGTTCATGTACACTTCACAATACCTGACAGGTCCATAGGTTTAACAGTGGCATCTGGTGGAGCAGGTTTGGCAACTGTCACCCTGTAAAAACAGTTTTGTCATAATGAAAACTATCAATTGCGGGTATAGCAGAAAAAAAGATACATGAATAGTTTGTAGTTTTATTGTGGGCAGGATTAATAAGGTCAAACGGACCATGTAAAGGTCAAATGAAAAACCACATTTTCAGATTTACTGGTTGACGAAGATCTCTGCATGATTTCAGGCACTGATGGCATCTGGAGAGATTTGCACAAATTCAATCTAGCAAATTTGTTAAAAATCATATTAAAAGACAAATTCACCAATGTATGTGATTAAACTCTGACCTCTAGATTGCCTCTTAATCAATGGAATGATTTATGAAATATTGTAGTCAATAAATTACTAATTTACTATAACTGAATGGAACAACTTACACTTTAGGTTTAGGTCTGTTGAGCTCCTCGGCTGGTTTTAATTTCCTGACAGTCAGTCTTTCTGTTACAGGAGTTTTTCTACCTGACTCAGGTGGGCGAGGTTCCCTTACCTGTAATAGACTTATTGTTTATTACCTTAAACCATGTATATACCTTAAAATCTAAGAAATAGTTTATATCATTAAAAAATCTATTGTATCATACAATAAAAATGTTAATTTATTTTGCCATTTCTTAACACAGTAAAATATACAGAATGCTGTGATAATAAAGAAAGCAATTCAGGTATAATGATACATAAAATGTTGTCCTAAAAATTCAAATTGTATTAATTGTCTTAATTCTCTAGAACTTATAAAAGGTTAAGCAAATTGTGGGGGTAATAAGATCTTGTCTCCGCCTTGCCATGCCCAAGTCAACTCTCTGTCAATAATTTTAACATTTTAATACAAATGGAATTTTAAATTCATGTAAAATTTTTATCAAAACAAGATTTTGAACTAATGTCTTAAGAAGAAGTTGGGAACATTGACATCACCTTGACAAGTTCTTCATCTTTTATCTGCAGTTTTTCAATTTCTTCATTCCAGATGACATTGCGGGCGGAAGCTGCCGACTCATCAGGCATTGCATCTTGGGAAGGTGTTCCCGACTTGTCTGGAGTACCATCTCTTTTTCGATTTTTCAGCTTATCTGTGAAAATAAAGACATTACAAATCACATGTTTTATTCTGTAATGATTTTACACTGACAGATTCTTCTGCTGGCTGATAAACAGTTGATAAATATTCAGAATAAAAACACTGGATTAAATATAGAAAAGTAATTAGGAGATCATACTATAACTTGACAAAATTACAAATGACTTAATCATATAATCATAAAAAAACTTAATCCTGTGCTATTGTTTTATACAATAAGGAATCAGTGATAATAAATATATATGCATTTTAAAGTTTTTTTCTTTTTTTAAACAAAACAATTTCTGTATAATTACCATCTTAAAAATAAATTCTGTTATGTATTGGGCTATGCATCAATGTAACTTGATAATTAAATAAATATGTTCATCAGTTATTGAGATAAAAAAATATTATCTCAATTTTATACTTACGGCTCATCTCACTATCAAAGCAAAACTGTTTTTTGCCAAAAGTTCAAACAAAAATCACCATAAACAGCAAAAGAATAAAATTTTAACGATAAAAAAAAAAACATCTAAAAATCCAACAAACTTCAAAAGAACATCACCACTATAACACACTATAGTCAAGTTTTAAACAAGTTTACTACACTAATATTAGTTCATTGACTATTCAAAATATTTCAACAAATCTTATAAAAAAATTCTTTTATCCAAGCATTTCTGATAACAAAGTGACTTAATGCCAAACCAGTCTAACTAATTTGCATAAAGTTTAAATGTTACGCTAGTAAACCAGTCAAATTGTAATCATTAAAACATAAATCTGTTAACACAGTCTACTGAATAGCCATTTATATTATAGACCCAAGAAATAAAAAAAGATATATATCAGAGTTTGATTGTTCTGTAGAGTTATCGCAGCTCCATGGCGATGTACGTTGCTTGCAAAGTTTATTGCCTCACTGTCAATAATCTTATCACGCTTGAAAATCAATTTTGTCGTAATTCAAGATTACCAATTAGAAAAAAAAGTCTAATTGTAATTCAGTGATCTTGTTTAAATAACAACAGATATACAGATTGATGGATAAATACAGTATTCAAGTACATAACATATTAGATCAGTCACAAAAAAATCATTGGTATGGTTAAAGAAAGTGAAGAAACCGAGTAATTGTTAACAAAATCCCTGAAGATAAAAACCATTAACCCTTTAAGTGCTGGAACTGAAAAGGTTAAGCCTTTGCCACCAATATAGAGCCAGGCCAGCCTGCACAGCTGTGCAGTCTCACCAGGCTCTATACTGTTGGCTGACAAATTTTAGATACTCAAATTGATATCCCTAAAATTGATAATGGACAGTCCCATAAATGGAAGAGGGACAAGACTGTGTAAAATATGCAGCATGTTCAGGGTTAATCTTTACTCGGTTTAATTTGCATCATTGCCATGCTATGCTTTAGTTTAAACATATTTATTCCTAATAGTACACATAATATATAATTATATTCACATACAGGCATTCAGCACACAAAATTAATACATAATGGAAAAGGATAAGAACAAAAGACAAGTCTTCTCCTTTATAATGCCATGCTTTAAATAAATTTTCAATTGTAAGCATTTGAAATTTCAATATCAAAATGCCAGCTTAATACTGGGTCATTCATCATTTTTAGGGAAAATTTTCAAGTATTTACTAAGTTGATTAGCGCAGTGCAGACCATGGTAAGTTTGGCTAATCTTGGTCTGCACTGGTGACATCCATGTTCATCTGCTGCTTAACATAAAGCTATGAGTTAAAGTAGTTTGCAGTTTCATTAAATTTTATCCCTGCATTAATTCAGGTTCAATACCAAAGTGATTTTTGCCATTAAATATCATGATGCAAGACTTATATTTTAACTAAACCTGATTATAACACAATTACAATTAATTATGTAAATAACACCCTGGTCAGGCCTGTACACCTCTTTTTGTATATGATGATTGTATACCAGCATCAGAAAGAAGAAATCTAAATGAATTACAAATCCAGGTGCTTACGGAATATATGCAATATCCATATTTTTATACAGTACATTTTTTTAATTTTACCAATTAAATATGGTGCTATATCAGTCAAATATATTTCATATTTTTTAAAAGTAAATATGAAATATAAATATGAAAGTGGGCAGAGTCAAAACTCATATTTATTTCAAGGGACTTCTTTCGTCATTTTGTTTGAAAATCTGACAAATAAAAACAACTTTTTGTTGAATTTTGTTTTGAAAACTATCTAGAATGATAGAAGTGGTCTAACTAAGAAAATAAATCCAAACACCAATATCTTTAATTCAGTTATTAACGCTGTACAGACATTTAAAGAGTTGTTTACGTGACATCACAATGTAGCACCAAATATCGCGTGCAAAACAAGACGCATCTATAAATAATAATATTACTGCGCGCTGTTCAATTGCAGTTGCGTAGAAAGCAAGGGGGTTCGTAACCATTTTTTTGATAATGAAATTAAATAAAAAGGTTATTTTTTCATTTTTCATGAAATATGGTATATATTTTCACTCAACATGATAAAATGCCACATATTTTCACTAGCCCTCCCGGCTCGTGAAAATATGTGGCATTTTATCATGTTTTGTGAAAATATATTCCATATTTCACACAAACGAAAAAATATCCTCTTAGTATTTGAAAAATTATACTCCATCACAGTGCAAAAAGAAAGCCAAGAAATAATATCATCACTGGACTTTATTGCTCACTTTTCAACAACAGAAAGAAGATTCCTAACAATTATTCCTTATTCCAGTAACTAAGACCTTTCTAGGAAATGTCAGTGGAACAAAATTGTTTCACTTCATACAATATGTTAGCATCACAAAATTGATCTCAATATGGCAACATTGAGATTTTCAGATCCTTTCATATAATGTTACATCAAATACGTCTTGAATTGATGAAAAATATATTAATCCAAACAGATGCCAGATACACAACAAATCAAAACCCACAACCATTGTAATTCACAGATTTCTGTTGAACTTCAACAAATATCCAAAAATAAGTTACATATGATGTATACACAAACACAATGTTATTTAGGAAGAAAAATGGGTTTCTTAAAAGTTTTAAAAACAAAAAGATTTAAATTTTTTAAACGCAGAAAGCCCTTCCCTTTCAAAACCATGTGTAGAACCCAAATTGACTTTTCCTACCGATCTTTCCCCAGTAAATGCCTGCAACGTGAATTTTACCCGACACGTCTTTACTTTTTTCTAGGGAACATTTTTTTAAACCGATTTTTTAAATTTTTACGTTTTCCTTTTTTAAAATTTTCCCGTCTTGATTAAATTCCACATGTCATAATTTTCTATATCCTAAATCGTTAGTGCATATAAGAAATTAATATTTGCAAATGAAATGCTAATCCATGTTAATCCACCCCAAAACCCTGATTTTTAAAATAAAAAACCCTTTTAAATTTAAGGCACTAAAAAACAAGGAAAATTCTTTAAAAAATTTGTTTTTTTTAAATTTGGGGGGGACAGGCCTGAAGCTCCCCCAAGGGTAAAGCATTTTATAGCAGGTTTTTTAAAACCTTTCTCTAACAAAAAAAAGAATAAATATCAAACAGCCCTACTTCCTTTAATAACTTTCTTTTATTACCCCATCCCTGTCAGCCTACATTTCCCCCCATTACCCCTATCCCCCCAACTCCTGTAATATCCAGTCTGTATTAGTATAATGAATTTGCTGTATCGTTTTTACAAGTTATCAATTATGAAAAATAAGCTGATAAATCACTGTTATGTCATTAAAACTTTTTTTTCATTTCTGTTCAGTTTAAAGTCATTCCAATAAATTGCAGTCATTATTTCGATTTCCTTAGTTACTTAACAGAAAACTTTCAAGTCTATAATATTATATTATTGCAAAAATGCCACATTTTTTATTAAAAATTTTGTTAAAGGGGCTCCACTGAGGTTTAAAAGCCTAAAAACATAACATTTGAATTTCTTACATACATAAGCTGGGGCACTTTAAACAGAAATGTATGCAAAGATAGTTAAGAAATATACTTTGAAATAAATTGAAAATCGTATTTTTATGCTTTTCTTAGCCCGTTTTGAGTGAAAAGCATTTATACGTCTTTCATTTTGTTTCATTTTTTTACAATTTGAATAATTATTCCGGAAAAACGAAGTGCGCGAATGATCTGAAATTTTGCACAAAGATAAGTGGTCTAAACCTACTTCAAATGGTCCATTTATCTGGAAAAAATATTTTCAGTCCCAAAAAACCTCAGTGGAGTCCCTTTAAGCATATTAAGTGAATATTATAGAATGATGAAACATCCATAATTTTTTTAATCATTATATGAGCATATATACCAAACATGTGTCCTGGATTATAAAAAGTCATTTTTTCACATGATAAATTGATCAAAATACACACAAAATATATTATCTCAAATTACCAGTTGAAGTTCCATGGTAACATAAAAAAATATTAAAGGGAGGTAACTGCCAAAATAAGAAACAAAATGTGCAAAAGAAATGGAAAAAAAAATGTAAAATATCCTTTTTACCTTTAAATTAATAAAAAAAGTAAAAATGTAATGAAAGATTAAAAAAATCAAAAATGTGAAAAAAAATCAAGAAAATTATACAAGTTTTTCCTAAACTTAAATACAATTAAATTCCTAAAATGTATATCCCTCTTTGTTATCAAAAGTGCACTATGTTTTCCTTCTTCATTTCTAAATATAAAAACATGAAGAAAAGCACCTGAGATAATATCAATATTCCTTGTTATAGCTGACAATAAACTGTCATTGAATTTAATACAATATTCCAGGCTGTTCCATTAATAATTCAGACAATTATTACAATAAATACCTCTCAATTTCATTGATTATTATTATTCTAGGAGAAAAAAACACAACTAACAATTGACTTGTAAAATCGATTAGGATTCAATGTAATTTACTAGTAGTATTGTCATGTATTTATACATAATTTGTATCTCCCTCAGTGATGAA